TCTGGGCTCCCTGGCCTCTGACTCGGCACGGGGGTGGGGCTGCCACTGTCTCCTGTGGGATCAGCTGAATTGGGCTTTTGCTTGGCATCACAACTTTACGCTGCCTTCTCCTCCACTCCCCTTTGTGTTGATCCAATTTCTGTACTTCCCTGCTGGATTTCTCCCTCATTCAAGCAATGCTTCATATCAGGGGAACCACACATATTCCCGGCTGTCTTACAGTCGTGATGTCTTGTGGTGCTGTTGGCCGGAACACAGTGATGCAGTCAGCACATGAGGAGTCTGGCTGCGTTTCTGGCTGTTTCCTGTAGCTTGAGTGGACCATTATTTCTTTACTCCTCAGTGGATCAAGCATTGAAGGTCTACTGGAGAAAGGGATGTGGATCCTGATTGCAATCTAAAAATCTATAAAATCTTTTTGAGAAGGAATAAAGTCACAAAGATAGATATCAGATGGTTTCACTTATATGTGAAATACAGAGAAACCAAACAAAGGGTCAGACAAAGACAAACTTTGAAAGCTGAGCATAGATATGAGGCGTCCAGGAGAGGAGGGGTGAATAGGTGTGGGAAGGGTGGAGGAAAAGCACAAGGGACTGTGGTGATGAGGTAGGGGAGTTTTGGCAGTGGGAGAAATCATATATTGTCCAAAAATTAACAACGATGAAAGAAAAAAATACTAAAAGAACAAAAAAACAAGCATCAAAACCTGGGAATCGATGTCAAAGCACAAGCTCTGTGGTGGAGCACTCGGGGTGTCTTGGGGGTGGATGTGGTGAGATGTCAACCTCTACCTCTCAATCACATAGTGTGATAAACCAATGTTACCTCAATAAAAAATTATATAAACCCCTAAAGACTTGGGAATTCTAGGAGCCACGGTGGAGTCCCCCTTTAAGAATTGCTTCAGTTTGAAGGTGGACGACTCTAGTTTGAAACAGAGATTCAAAAGCATTTCATTCTGAAGGTAAAGAAGTTGTAGGAATATCACCAATTATTTGTATTTCATTTTACAATGATACAAATCTATGTTCGAACATCTCTTAGAGTTACTTAAAGATACTATGCCATATTTTAAATAACTTTTTTACATATTCAATGATACATAAAATGGTGAGTCCTATAAGTGATGGTGTTTCACATTCGGTAAAATTCTGATCGGGTATATGGTCTTCAATGGGGCAGAAGGAATACAATCAAAGAACAGTCTTTGCAATATTGGGAAAACTGAGATAACCTCACAGATGTGTTACCTTCTGTGATTCAGTGAATCCCCTTGGTGAGTGAGGACCTACCAACTTGGTCATATGGCTGAAATTTTGTAGAATTTAGTCCATTAAATATTTTATTCTGCCACTGTGTGGGTATGTGTGATGTATTCATATTCAATGTGTGTGTGCACCCAATTCCCTTCAGATATTCCTGATATTGAGCACTTTTACTATTCAGATGCAAAACCATGCACTTAATTTGCTGCCAGCTTCTTATTTTGTGATCACAAAACTATATAGAATCCATGTGATCACCACACGAAAACAAGAAGTTGGCCTTAGATTAAATGTGTGCATGAGTTCCCAAATGCACAACTATGCAGGATACAGGACTTGGATCTGCTTGCTGGCACATTTTCCTCTTCCATTCCAGAGAAATACCTGACCGACACTGTCTATATGCCAAGATAACTTCATTAGCCACCCAGTTTGTGTTGTCTTCCTATTTTCCCTCCCCACATTTGGCTGATGAAAAATTAATTTCTCCATTGTGGAACAGCAATAGTCAAGCAACTCCAGTGGGCTTAGTTATAGATGGGATAATTTCCCCAGTTCCAGAGTACCGTGGCAACACACAGCTCCCCTGTGCCAGATCAATTCTTCGGCAATGTGATTAATTAACCTGTAAGAATAGAAGTTTGATGCTGTTGCCTTGAAATGCACTTGTATTTTGCTTCTAGGGATGATCTACTCTTTTGTACCTGCATTATTCTATTGCATTTTTTTAAAACCCTGAGCAAGTAAGCTATACGTATGTGCTTTACAAATCCTTCCACTGCGATCACAATGTGAGTTTTTTTTTTAAAAGATTTATTTATTTATTTATTTATTTATTTATACAAGCACTGGGTACAGTCAGAAGCGCGGGAGGGTGAGAAAATTCACCAGAGCCAGAGTGGGGAGCAGAACAGGCAGACTGACAAAGTACACTGCTGAGGGGAGCAGCAGGCGCAGCAGGAGAGGTCTGCATGCCATGTGGGACCCTTGCTGGTGGCTGGGGATTGCACTGGCATTGCAGAGGCTGCAGGCAGCTTCACAGCCCAGTGCTCAATCGCTGCGTTACCAGGGGAGGCCCCACAATGTGAGTTTTATGGTCAAATTTAAGCAGCGTAGACTTCTTCTTCAGCAAAAATCTCAAATTATTTCAACATTTGTAGACCTAGTTAGTATAGACGTGCTTACCTACCCTCTTATTTCCCTTTTTACATTCACTTGGTCCTTCCCTGCCAGAAGCAGGAAACTGCTAAAAGTTTTTGAAAACAATAAGTGACATTTTATATTTGTTTTGCTTTATTGGATATTGCTATGTCATGTCTTATGTGAGGGATAAAAAAAATACATGAACTCTGACTTACAGGGCTCAGAGTTGAGTAGGAGAGACACACAACTCCCTTTCCTGCCCAAGTGAATAGTAATATAGTATGATGGAGGTTTAGTAAGGAAACTTGAACGATAGGGGGCTGGAGTAGGATTTTAGAGTGTGATGGTCCCAGGTAATCTTCTCACCTTCCAAGGTTCTAGATAAAAACACCTGAAAGCAGCAATAGACAAAAAAGAAACAACAGACTTTATGAGCCAGTTTGCTATCTTTCCATTTTTCCCCCAGCGCCTGATGTACTTACCTAGATACTGATGTTAAGTGGAACAGCCACAGGAGAGAGACTAGTTGACTTCAACCAGATCTTCAATTTTCATTACCACATAGAGAAAGGAAGCACAGAGCAGATAGAACAGATTTCAAGTCTTTAAGACTCAGTTCCCCAGCTCATTAGACAAAAATAAATTAGTAAATGAAGGGAGTGAGTGTCTTTACAGACAGCTCAGCAACCCTGCTTGGGACAGTTATTCTTGCTGGGAAGAGGGGCTGGACACGGATGAAAAATGCAGAGGTGGCACCTCTAGAACGCCAATGCTGGGCATGCGGAAGGAAGTATGGGTCATGTCTTCACAGAAGAGAAAAATTGAGAATGGGGACGTGAAGAATGAGAAGGAATTTGATGAAAGAATAAAGCAGATGTTCCCCAGGCAGAGCAAACAGTTTATTTGAGTAAATTTTGGGGGAGAGAAATGAGGGTAGAGACAAAACAGAAGGGGTACTATGGAAAACAGGGGGACACTGGCATCAACTGTGTGTTTCAGAAAGATAATTTCGACAGAAATGTGGGGGGATCGGTGGAGACAGGTGCAGTAGAGAGGAAGGAAGGTGTATTGCCTATATTGCAATTATCCAGGCAGTAAGTGAGAAAGACCTGGGAAATAGTGTTTGCAGACAACAGAGAAAAGGTGATATATTTAAGAAATGTAATAGAAATAGTATGTCTTCTTCTTTGTTCTAAACTCACTAAGCATGTAAGTCACTGCTTGAGAGTGCAGAGGAAAAGATAGGTCAAAAATGTTACTCTAAAAGAGTTCCCTCTAGGAGGAAGTAAATAGCAGGAGAAGGGAATAAATGATCTTGACCATCACTAATTTCACCAACTTGCAGTTCCTTCTGTTGTCTGGAATCATTGCTAAATTCTAGGAGGTTTACCTAGTGCCAATCTCCTTGGGTTTGGATAGGCTGATGTCATTGCTATCAGGTTCAGTGGGTTTAAGGCAATCAATCTGATCTTCTTATTTGGAGCATATTGAGCTGCTGAGGCCCACTGAATTTGTTCAAAGGCCCAACTGCCTAGAATCACCAGGCTTCATTTTCATCTTAGAGAACAGTGAAGAATGGGCTTTCTTTGCTCTCCAAACTACAAACATAACTAGGGTTTTGCTGCTTATACAAAGTTGACCAGGAGGTTACATTACAGGAGGGCTCAGGAAGGCCTTTTCTCTGGGACCTACCAACATTTTTGTTGTTTCCCACCCACAGACAGAAGAATTTCCTAGATAGGGAGTAGCAAAGTCCTGTTCTTCCTCATCATAAATGCTCTCAAATCTTTGATCAAAATCATGAATCCTCTCCAGTTCCCAAAGGAGAAAGAGTTTTGAAACTCAAGAGTATATGTTCCTTTTCTTTCTTATGTTATACCCCTTTCTTCAGGCAATGAACATTAAATGGACTAGAAGTTCAAATATGGGATAAAGAAGGGGGTGAAAGAAAATAAATGGAAAAAGCTTTGGTGACTTTGCCTGTAATATAAATCACATGGGGGCTAGGATCATGTCTGTTTTGCATTGTACCCCTAATACTTAGCAAAGTTTCTGGCACCTAGTAGCATTCGATAAAAATGTTTAAGTGAATAAATGAATATAAGGTCATGAGAGTTAAACTGGAAACTAAGTGTTAGTTATGGACAGCACATTGTGCATTTGATTTGGAACATATGCACTGAAGTACTACGTGACAGGTACTGTGCCACGTCCTGAGGATACAAAGGTGAATAACACAGATAAATCCTTCCCTGTGGAGCTGACTTCCATTATTACATCCATTGTTCAGAAGGACAATAAATAAACAGATCACTGAAAATTGATAAATAATGTAAAAGGAATAAGTAGAGTGAAGTGATAGAGACTAATTTGATGATGGGGGAATTGGAAGGAGGGGGTGTCAGAGGTATTGAGCTGATTTCACATTCCCTTAGATACCCTCCCTCCAGAGTGAAAATCATACTAAAAACAATTAACACAAGTAGTGTTAGTTAAATGGAAAAAGTCATTTGAAGAAAGCAAATGCAGAACTGCAATTAATATTTAATATATGAAATTAAATTAAATATTTAATACATAATCATCATGCAGGCACAATATTACATGTGGATAGTTGCAGATAAAACATATCGGGCATTTTATTTCTAAAGTTACTCCATAAGCATATTCTTTTTAGAGTTCTGTCCATCTTATCAAAAGTTATATGCAATAGAGTATGCGAGTTGTTTCAATGTTAGTCCAGTTCGTTCTGTCCTATAGCTTGTAAAATTCAAGTTTGTTGACCCCTAAGAAAGTTGCATTTCACCTAGCAGAGAAAATAAAAATGTCTCATTTCCCCCTAGGAAAAGGATAATATTTTCTAATTTTTCAAGCACTTTATGAAAGTATCATTTGACTCTGTATTTTTACAGCTGGTTAGCATTTATTATTGGAGAGGCCCTTCATGCAGTATGTTCCTTTTCTTTCTAGTCGAGGGGTGTTGTTATTATTTTGGAATTATTCAAATTTAAGAGAGTGATAAAAGACCTCTACTCAGGGTTCTTGCTAAACAACCTCCTAAATTCCTTTAAGGAAAAATAAAATTTCTGAGGAAATGAAAATAAAGGGAAAGGTTTGGGATTATGAGCTTCTTGATTGGGAATCAGTGCTATTCAGTGTGGCAACTTTAAGACCTTAAGTCTTGTTTGCTATTTAGCAGGTGCTCAGGAAATGTCTGCTGTGTTGAATTGGTTCAGGAAGAGACAGGAAATTATGATCCTCATTACACAGATGGGGAAACAGAGGCTCAAAGAATTTATAGGGGTGCCTGTATTGTGCTTTGTACTTTAACCAGGGACTGTCACCCAAGATAGCTCATTTAAAAGTTGGTCCTCATCACCATTATATGTAAAGCAGTAAAGTGAATATTTTCAAGTAAAAAGATGAGAGTAATAGTGTGTTCGACATATGGTGAGTTATGTCATTCCTAGCTCCCCTATATACATCTAGTTAGTCTCAGATGCTAAGGGACAAATAAAACCTAATGATGACGAAATTCTGGTCCTTATACATAGAAAGAAGGCTATTCTCCCAAGGACAAAACAATCAGAACAGTTACTAGCCATGTTTGGATTTTAAGTAAGTCCTATAAGAGAGAGAAAATAAAAGCTCTCATGTACTATTGTGGTAGCATAAATTGGTCCTATTTTGTGGAGAAATTATATTTACCAGAATTAAAAAAAAAAAAAAACAAAACAACCACCACCACCTAACTTTGAGGTAGTATCTGACTTTTATGAATGTATTCCTACTACAGACATAATGGCACAAAAATACACAGGAGGAATAGCAGTATAATGAATCTAAGAATGTTCATGGTGACGATGTTAATAACAAGAAAACTTAAAACAGTCGAAGTGTTCTGTCAACAGACTGCTGGGTACAGATGTTATGGTGAGCTGGGAAGTGATAGTTTATGCAGACATTTGCAATATAACATTAATCTATGTATTGACATGAAATAATGACTACAATACATTAAGTCAAAAGGAAACTACTAACAGTTATGATCTCCTTTGAATAAAGACACCAAACTATTAATGATGGCTACCGCTGGAAAATGAGATTTTTTTTTTTTTACTTTATTAAATTCTCTATGACTTGATTTCTAAGGGGAAATAGATTATTTTTAAAATTAAAGAGAAGCTGTTTAATTCTGGTTAACTGAGAAGCATTTTATTTTTATTTTTTTTAAAGCCAACAGCAGAACCCAGGAAATGGCTAGCTGTTGCCCTACCCCCCATGGGGAGCACTGGGTACTGTGCTCGGAACCCTATTGGGGTGCAATAAGTGTTTTGGGAATGGATAAGTAAGGATGAAGTTAAGTGAGTTAAGTGAGAAGTTAAGTGAGAAGGACATACGAACATTGCAATTTTTCTAACCCTAAAATATGAGTGAGTCAGGAGAAGAGTTTGCATTGACCATGTCAACAGGGTTGACTTCTATTAAAGAAAGTTAGTTACATAAATGTCAACTCACCAAAATGTAATCTGGGGGTTTCCCTTGTGTTAGAAAAAGATTCTTAAGGAGTCCCCACCATGCTTTTTTTGGAACATCTTTGACCCTCTCTTAGGACACTTGGCTGAGAGGTCCTGAGAGCATAACAGAAGGGACAGTGCTCCAGTCACCCAGCCAGTTCAGACCCTCAAGCTCCATGACAAGGAGTTCCAGTTGACTGGCCACCTTCTATGACAGTGCTTCCACTTTCTCCCAGGGAATTCTTTCATCATTAGCTCCAAACACAAGAAAGATTCCTTACTTCACTGAACAGAAATCTGCTCTTCATAAAGCTGACCCCAGTCCCCAGCTCTGGCCTTAGCATCACACACACACATTAAGCAGTTCTGCACCATGGTTTGGGAGAACGGGCTCTGGGAGACCAGCTTCTACATGCAGGTGCTCTAACCCTTCCGGAAAGATGAGCTGCTGGCTTTCAGCCTAAGTGCCTTCTTTCCAAATGGAGAAACCTATTGTTTCTACCTCACTGGGGGGTTTTAAAAGCTAATGAATTAATATTTGCAAACTGCCCATCACAATACACAGATGCTCAACAAGTAATATCCTTACAATAGTTACAGGTCTTTTCCATTAGGTATTTGACAGAAGCAGGGAGAAAATGGCACAAAACAGCAAAGTTAACAAGCTCGGTGGCTGTCGGTGAGTTGCATGCCTGAGGACCTTGCTCTCAAGTCACTCTAGCAACTCTTTGTGTTTTCCTCACTGGAAACAAATTAGAAAGACACTTCCGTGGGGGGAGGGAAATTTCATACCACTAATTTGGCAACAACAAAAAGTCTGTACTTTCACAATCATAGGTACTAACTTACAAAAGTAACTTCAGGTGTTTGAGAATCTCACTCACCTCTGGGGGACACAAGGTAAGAGCTCCCTCAAGGGTTTCTCTCAAAACTTGTCTCCCTGAAGCTTCCTCATAGTCAAATGGCTGTCAGGTGAAATGCAAGTCTCAAGCCATTCTAAAACACATACATGTATTATAAATACATGTATTTATAATATTCATTGAGATTATATATAACTTATGAGATTCAGTAGATGAACTAGATGAGACTCAGGAACTAGGTCTAATCTTAATCTAGCTACTAACTTGCCATGGAAACTCTTAGGTTCTCAGTTTACTCATCTATAAAAATTAGAATGGATGCTGCTTACACTATACTCTAAGGAGCTCTAGTTGTGCACAGCGGTGCTGGGAGCTGCCTTAATTGAGCTTCAGGTTTTCATCCTATTTCAAGCAAAACAGCAGCACTGACCAAAAAAAAAAAAAAAAAAAAAAAAAAAAATGTGCCACATGTATCAGAAGTTGGCATAAGAATTCATGGAATCAGGTGATTTTCAAGGTTCCTTCCAGAATTTCAAAGTTCTGAGTTCCTGTTTCCAACTTTTATCTCCCTGGTAAAGAAGGAGAGCAGAGGGTGAGGGGAGTGGAGGATGAGGGGGGCAGAGAACACGTGGTGACCTCTCAGTGGTATCAGACAGGCACGGTTTGGGAGCCCAGTATTCTGATTAACTAGTGATTCTTGCTTTCTTCCTAAGTAAGTTACCTAACAAAACATTGGGTGATAATAAGCTCCTTTTTTATTATTAAGTTGGTTCTCACTGCCCAAGACATTGAAAATAACTTTCCGCCTCTCAACTCCCCATTTCCCAGCCTCAGCTTAAAGGCATTAAACTAAAGGAAAATTGGGGTCTCCCTGGTGGCTTAGGGTTAAGTCTCAGCACTATCACAGCTAAGCGCTGAGTTCAATCCCCCTCTAGGGAGAAACCCACATGGCGCGGTAGACTTCTCCTGTCTCGCCCGCTGCTCCCCTCAGCAGTATTTCAGTAGCTCTGCCTGTTGTGTTCCCCGCTCTGTCTCTGGTGGATCCTCTCACCTCCCTGCAACTCTGGCCTACACTCCAAAGTTCTATGCAAAAATAAATCTAAAAAAAAAATTAAAATTAAAAAATTAAACTGAGAGAAAATCTTTAGCACCTCCAGGTCAATGGCTCATTCCTCCCAAAAACTATCTAGCAGGATCCTCACAGTACAACAAAGCCAAATCAAAAGAAAATTAGCTTGCAGGTGATATTGGCAATAACATGGTCAGTGTTGAAGAATCCCTGGATGTCTCTTTGATGGCAGAGGACATTCCATGTATCCTCTTCTCATCAAGCCTCCTCAAACGCTCCCCCTGGCAAGGGCAACCAAAGCAGAGTAAATTCTGACGTCAGCCAGTCACTTGATTTTAGATTGTGCTGCAGAAAAACCATCCCTCCAAGGCTGTGTTCCTACTTGATGAGTGTTTGGGGGTGGAGATGGGAGAGGGTTCAGAAGAGAACAGTGGGGTTATGTGTAGGCCACGCCTGACTGCAGAGGCACTTTCTGAGTGTGCGGCCGCTGGCGCGCACAGCTGTGGAACTCAGCTGCATCAACAGAACCATGGAGCCCTGTGTGAAGGGCTGTGACCTCCTACTGCAGGGGCCTGGGGGTGGCAAGGGGACTGGACATGGAATCAGAAGACTTAGGTGTGAGCCTCAGTTGCTGGACAAGGTGCATTCTTTCTCTGAACTGTGATTTTCCTAACTGTAATAAAAATACTCACGAAATCTGTCTCATAGGCTGAGGTATGGCTAACATAAAACAGGTCTGAAAACATTTTGTAAATTGGAAAGCTCCATAAAGATGTACGCTGTATTCAAGAGCCTGTGAAATAACTGGCTATATGTGATCCTGAAGAAACACCAAAGAGCGTTGTCCCAATCACTCTCCTAAGATTTGAATATATGAGGTTAGTGAATTATCAAATAAATGAAGTGTTTCACTATGTTCTCAGAAATCCCAATGTCTGAATATAAAAACCATTGTATCTGATATTCCTTCACTACATATAAAATTACAAAGAGCTAAATATAAATGAACAGCAAACATATTATAAAATCTAATTAATATGACTTCAAAAATACATTCTTAAAGAACTATTATAGTGGCAACTGATACTACAAATGTATGCAGTTAACTATATATAAAATTACAAAGAGCTAAGTATACATGAACAGTGTACATAATTATAAAATTTAATTATCTATGACTACAAAAATATGATATTCTTAAAGAACTACTATAGTGGCAATTGATACTATAAATGCATACAGTTATACCACAAAGTTTTACAAAAATAGCCTAAATCCAGAGTGTCCATTTCTCAACTATAGTAAGTAGCGTGTGTCTTACTCCTATTTTGAACTGCTCAAGAGTTGTCCATGTGGGCCGAGATGCCAGATGGCCACAGAGCTCAGCTTCCTACAGGGAACCACTAACTCTTCTGGTCAGGTTCTCTGAAGCAATCCTCTTCATTTTCTTCTGAGCAGGACAGGTTCAGGGTGTTCATCACGGGATGGATCCACGACGTGGTCTGTGTCACGTGGCTTGAGGAGAACAAAGAATGCAGTCAGAGGCTGAAAAGGCTGGCCTCCTGCCCACCACACTAATGCTGGTGGGTCCTAGTGACACCACCTCTGCCCGCTGCAGTCCATGGTGAAGCACCTAGAATGTCCTAGTAGTTGTACTGAGTCTTAAAAATGTCTTAAGTTCAACAAAATCCATTTCTTTTTCCTTTGGTACAAAGGCTTGCAGGAGGACATACCATCTTTGCCTCCTCACTTTTCCTTACCTGACATCTTGTTCATCAGTATGTCTGATAATGATCTTGCTGCCACATCTATGTAATCTTTTCCTTCCTTTCCTTTTCCAGTGCTCTAGCTTGGGTCACTAAAATAGCTCATCTCTCTGCCTCTGTTCTGGCTCTTTTCTAATTCATTCTCTACTCCAGCCAGAGATCTTTCTAAATGACAAGCCATACACTGTTGCTCGCCCGCTAAAAATTCAGTGCCAGCCAATGCTTTCTGGATTCAATATATATTCTCTAGTATAGTAAACCTTGTTTTTTTACCTGCCTCAATAATACTTTCAATACAATTACAGTTCTCTGCTCCAACTGATTTATTTAGTTAGGTCATATTAATCCTAAAGAACCAAATTCCCTTTAGGATTCTTCCAACTTGTGCTCATGGTTTTAGCTCTCATTACACTATATAATACATGTCTTTTTTATTTTGAGACATTCTTACTGCACATGAAGCTCACTGGGGGAAGGAACTATGCATCTCTGCAGTTATGGTGCCTAACATGTCCACAGAACAAATGACTAGGCATTTCAGGGAAGAACCCAAGCAGAGCTAAGGAAGAACATACAAAATATATACATACAGCATGTCTAATGAGCAGTGAAAAAACTTTACAAAGTGTGTTTGGTGGATGGTTTTTCTTAGACCTCATATTCAACTCCCAACCTTCAGCTAGACAAATCACCTAAGTATTATACTCTCTGCCCAATTTTTGAGTGATGGACAACTTCTGGAATTAGGATGATTTATTTCTTCTCCCTGGCTACTCTTTCTAGTCCTGGTTCACCCACTGTCCTCACCTATTCTAGATGAGATTCCCCTCCCACCATCATACCCAAAAACCACCTCAGAAGCTGCCTTAGACCAAATCTGTCTGAGGGCTGGCACTTATGAGGCTCAATAAGATTGTGGATCTGAAACTATCTCCTGCTACAGAATAACATTTCCAAAGTGTATTCCATGGGTTTTTAAATAAATGTTATGTGAGGAAGAAAAGGCTATGGTCAAAAAACTTCGAGATACAGTAGGTTAAACATAGTTGTAGACCTCTTTACTGTAGGATTTCAGAAAGCCTTAAATATACCATGGTTCTCTGAGAGTATGCATTTTATTCAAACCAACCTGCCTCCATTGCACACCCAGGTCTGATGTCCCATAGAGCACAATTTGGGGACCGTCACAAAAATGCACCTACTTTATTGGTTGTCGATGATAATCACTGAAAATGGTGGATTTAGCACAAATGGTTAGTTTCACTGTTCTTACTGGATTTGGCTCATTTTTAATCTCATAGTCTAAATTTTATCTTCCTCACCACCCCATATAAATTGTTCCATTTCTCTACTTAAATATTTAAAAATACATTTTTCCAAGGAAGAAGATCACTGATAGTTTCAGGATGGGGTAAAAGTTAAAGTTTTTCAGAATCAAGGTGAAGTGGAAAGGTCCAGACATCTTCAGTTTCAAAATCTCAGAGTGTGGTTAAGTGCTACAAAGAATCATTATTCTCTTGACAGTAATCCACTTTACTATTATCTCTTTAAAATGGTTTAATGGAATTTCTTATTATGCAGGTTAAACTTACTAACGCATTTGATTCTGCACAGGTTAACTTCATTTCATGGCATTTATGAAGCTGGAAAGCTGCCTAAATGAAAAGTAGTTTTAAAGGAATACTAATGAGTGTAACGTAATAGGGCTAGAATGCCATAAGGTGAAATGAGGACAGCGTCCTGTACAAAGCACCTGCTTAAAGCTAAAAGGAAAAAGCTTGAGAAAAATTTAAATCTTGGTGTATTTAATGTTTATTAGCACATTTATAAAATGTTAGTTCAAGGGAGAAACTTGAATTTATTATTCCAATTCCCCTATAATGGAAGAGGAAGGGTAGGAAGAAAAAGAGAAACAATTATCTGGAGATAAGTTTCAGTGAATGTTTTCCTATCTGGCTTAAAAATAATATTCTCATGCTTGCAATATTATAACTGTCCATTATGGACACTGCATTAAATTTGTAATTTACAATAATCAAAAACAGAGTTCAAATTTTAAAAAATTTAGTTATAGACACTGAACGATGAATGAAAGTCATCCTTGTAACCTTCTAACCCTCCCTTAACACATTATCAAAAAATCAACATCTGATCCTCCTCCAAATACAAAATACCATGAAATATTTATTAATCATATGTTTATAACATACCTCTTTGTACATGTTTGATAAATCTAGCACCAAACATGTATTTACAAGTCAGACAGCATTTTATGTTCCAAGTATGTACTGGGTTCCAAGTTCATAACTGGGTCTTTTGTAAAAACATTCAGAACTAATGCTTTTAAACTTATTCAATGCATGTAATGTACCTAGCAAAGATACTCAATAAATGATCATGGAGCTTTAAAGATAATTAGGACTTTCTGATTACTGTAAGAAAAAACTTGGAGTTCGCCCTGTGATGATGGAATGGGGCCATTTATGTGTAGACCATTCAATTTCATGTCCTAGTGAACACTGTGACTAAGAGCTTTGACATAATCAGTATGATGAGATAATCCCAGATTTACTGGCTAGAGAATTTTCCTGTCTTAAAAATATTTCCTCTCTGATTTCTATGCTTGGTAATTCAACTGAGAAGAGAACGTAAATCAGCCCTGTTGACTCTGTTTAATTAATAAAGATCCATGGTTCATAAAGTGAGATGCTTCTGCTTAGTATGAAAAATTTAGAGGTCTGGAAAATAAATGAGACTGACTATGAAACATGAAACTCTTCCATTTGAACATACAGTATCTCTGGCAAATGTTCCTGCAGAGAGCATCTGACCTGACTTGGAGAGTAATAACAGCAGTTCAGATATATCTGAAAAATTAAGAAGCATAATACTACATGTCTCAGAATGATGGCCAAATCTGTTGTTGGAAAACAATAATATTTGATCTGGGAAGATGACAGTATTGTGCTTTTTCTTTTATATTAGTAAATTGAAAGACATATTTTAGAGCTTATGAGGGAGAGCTAAGAGAACATAATTTATTTTATTGGCAGAGAAATGTAAGTGAATTATTTAAATCCCATTTTAATTACCCTCCTTATGCTTCTTACCTTCTAACATGCAAACTGCTTCCTTTCAAAATAAAAATTTAGGACAGTCTGTTAAGAGAAAAATGGTTTTCGAAAGACAAAAAGTGTACTAGTTTTGTAGAAATTCATTCTTCCAACTGTCTGTAATGATGAAAGAGGTTCTTTTGTTAATTTTCCATTGTAGATGGCACTATTTATATATCATTGGGAATTTAGCAAGACTGCATGCATTATTTTATCACATTGAAGATAAATCTGCAGATCGATGAGCCTAAGTAATTACCTCCCAATGTCAACTTTTTTGGGAAAATATAATCGTATGTACATAATATTCACACGCACCAGAAAACAAAGACAAACAAGCAAATAAATGTTAATTACATATTTCTAGCACCAGTAACTTTGAAGCACTGGAAAATTTTACAAATTGCCATGAACTGCGAGCTATAATAACAATCAAAGAGTTATACTTAAAAGTAAGCCTAAAATAGTCTTGTGCTAGAATAATTACCTTTCATTTCTTTTTGGATGCATGTCATCAAAGATCAATTATGTGTGGTAGAGGAAATGCTGATCAATTTTGTTTAATAATAAAAAAATAAATACATGCAATTCTAATTGGAAACAAATTAGAAGCTAAGAAGAAAAAAATGAACCATACCAATAAGAGTTCATAAAAGTCACCAAATCACAGTAGGACAAATGTCATCTTGTCACATACTGTTTATGAGAATGACTACAGATTAGTAATAGAAGTAGCAATTCTAAAATGTGCTTGAGAGAAACTTATAGGCATTTTGCTCCCACTGATGTATAAGTAGAGTTCCCTCTTATATAATTCTGGAAATATATTCCTAAAATCAAAATGAGTAGTTCTCATTAATGATCTTCGTAAATATCACAGAACATTTTGAACATTTTGTAATTAGGCATTTGGAAATCCAACGAGGCTCTGATCAAATGAGAATTCCATCTTTTACGATCTTGAGGACAAATTTTATTTTTATTATATATTTATGGTACTTCCTATAAAAATTACATCTGATATAGTTTAAAATTTAAAAAATCCAATTAATTGAAAAAATCTTTAGGTCTCCAATTAAAAAAAGCTATAATAATATAGTACTTATACACAATGTTGGACAAATTTGCTATATCACTAAACTTGTTAAAGGTCAACACTGAAAATAAAATTTCAGAAAAAAGTGAAAAATATGAATTACATTTTTTAAAATAACATACACATACTTGGCTGCTGTAAATTATTGTATAGCAGTGATTTACAGAGTATCTTAGGGAGCGAAAAAGCCCCCCAGTTGACACAATAAAGTTTTCAAAGAAACCATTCTGAAGTCAAAGATGACAGTTCTTGGTAACTCTTGAAAATTGATGCTATTTTCAAACATGATAGAAAGAAAATCCAGAAGCCATCAAGGAACATGTCCTACTGACAATGATATCTATATCCTGACCTATTAGGTAGTATAGACAATTATATAGATTTTTATAGTTAATATAATTGTTTATTCTCATACACTTTTTAGCAGTACCCACCATCAATTTATGTTCTCCATAACAAATCTCTAAACACTACAGAGATCTGCTACTAGGAGGCAGTTGCCCACACAGGGACTAACTTCCCAGCTCCCTTCTTATACTT